GCTAAGCATTGCATTACAATTTTCTAGTCCAAATCTAGAAACCACAACAGGTTGTTGTCAATTGTCATCAATATTCTAAACGCATACACTTGTTTAGACGAAGATTGTTGTACAACATTGAATCTTAGAAATTGGAGATTTATTTCAATTTCTTATTTATATTACAATACTATTTGATTTAGAGGTGTCGAGCTAATTTATAAAATATTAAAATGAATTAAGTTAATAAATGAACGAATTATTACTCCATTAAATCTTATTAGATTGAAGTGAGTTGGGTTGTAATGAGTTAAAAATTGAGTCATAACTCAATCTATTCAATTTTTCTTAAATTTTAAATTCAAAGATTGATTTTTTTTATAATTTATTTGAGTACCTAATAAATTGTCTCTTATATTATGATTAAAAAAATATTTTTAAAAAAAATATATAGACAAATTTTTCATGAATCAATATGAGTTGCATATCCACATTGTTTTAAATGATTTTGTCAAGTGCAAAGTTGGAACTAGCAATATGTCATATGCATATCAATTTACATCTAGCAATATATTATGTGCACAATTAGAATTAAAGAGTTGTCAAAAAGGAAAGAAACATCTTTTTAAAATGAACTAAAAAAATGTAAGACAAATTAACAATTTAAAACAGAAGAAATATTAAAAAAACTTGGCTAAAATCATCTCTGAAGTATGACTTAAATCTAAAGTACATCTTTGTATTATATAAGTGAACAAAAACATCCTTATACTATCCAAAAAAGTTGCAAGATTCATCCTTTTGTCTATTTTTTTAAAAAAACTCACGCCACCAATAAAAAAAATATGTCAAGTCGAATGAATATTTATACACATGATTAAGCTAGTCAAATTAGGTGATTTTGCTAATTTTTAGATATTGAGTGTTTAAATCATATTCAGATAAAATATATTCAAATTTTAACAACTCCAACTTAAAAAATTTCAAATAAAATAATTATATTTTTTTCATAACTAAACGGCTACGTAATTTCACTAAATTTCCAACATTTCTATACATTGTATAAAATGTGAATTGCATTGTAAAATGTATTTTTTTTTTACATAATCTTTATAACCATTAGAACCTACTATATAAATATTTCAAGACTTGTGTATTGTTGCAAGTCAATTTACTTGATTATGCAAAAAACATATAAACTAACAACACGCAAAATTTAAATTTTGAGAATGAAAGATTCATTTCCTATCCATATCCTAATTCTTTTTAGGTAACTTTGATCTTCTTGTCGTGGCTAAGAAATGATGAACAAATAAAAAAATAAAAAATTATTGATTCAATCAACTTCTTAATTACAAAAATAATCTGAAGAATGATTCTTGTTATTTTTGGGATATTATAAGAATGTTTTTTGTTCACTTAGATAATATAAAGATGTACATTATATTCAAGTCATAGTTGAAGCAGGGGTGGCTCAACGTAACTGAGGGCCTAAAGCGAAATTTTATTTGAGGCCTAAAAAAATTCATACATATTTATTTAAAAATTATTTTTTCTAATTGTTTAGATGCACATTATTACTTCAACTTTTTAATAGATGATTTATTTGAGTACTTTTTTAAAAAAAAATTAATTAATTTTAGGTAAGATTTTATCAATTCAATGCTGAAAAATATCCTTTTACTAAAGCAATCATTATATGAATTGTTAACATAATTCTCTAAGGAATAAGTTGAACAAACTTTAAGACAAAATAAGAGTTAGAACCATAGAATCTGATTCAAGACGTTGATAACTATACCTAACTTTGATTGAAAATTTAAGTAAAAAAAAAATTATGATTCACTTTGTTCAACACTGTTCAACTAATGATTCAGATTTATAATAGAGTATTACTTTAACTCATCAAAGATTTGTAGAAAAAGAGTGAAAAAGGAGTTTTTAAATAAATAAATAATGTGAATGTCAGAAATGTAATAAGACGAAACAACGTTTTCTTGATTTCTTCTATTTGAGTGGAGTTAAGGAGAATAAAATAATACATATATATACTTTTTATTATAAATAATTATTATTTTTATAAAAATAAAAACACATAATTTGTTCTTGGTAAAAATTTGAGGCCTCCCAAAATTGGGGGCCTAAGACATGCGCCTTAATTTTTCTAAGCAAGAGCCGCCCCTGAGTTAAAGGATAATTTTAGCCAACAACTCTAAATATTAACTTAAGATCATCATAAAAGCTCAGAAATTTCAAATTCTAAATTCATATCTACTTGAACTCAAGTTATGAAAATGAAGAAATCCGATTGAAAAATGCTTTCCTAGTAATATAAATTTAAATTAATTGAATTAGGTATTTTATTTTATATTTGACCTTTTCAATATTCCATCTGTGGTGAAGTTTTAGGGGGTCGCCCCCCCCCCCCCCCCCCCCCCGCCTCTATAAGAACTGTAATTTGACTTGAAACCTTTTCCATTAGAAGTAGATGCAGATGCAGTTAGAGATGTGGAGTCCAAAACAGTGTGATTATGGGGCTTTACTTCCCTCTGTCTCTCCTCTTGGGCCATGTCACGTGGATAAGTGGGCCCATTTCCCCAATTTAATTGATATTCAGAGAATTTACTCACAACCAAAAATAAATTGGAACTTATCTATTTAAAATCTCTAGTCTATGGAATTCGCCCGCAAATCGGGCTTCAACATTTAATATTAAAGTTGCAGAGATATACACATATTTTTACTTTCAATTTATATTAAAAGAATATGATTCTTTTTCCAAAAAAAAAATTAAATAGTTTCCAAAAAAATGATACGATTGAATTTGTATAAGGTTAAGGAAATGTGTTCTGATGGTATTGATTTTACTCGTTAGGTTTAATTATTATTTATTAGCAATTAAATATGTTTTTGTACGTAAGCAAAAAATGAAATAAAGATAATGAAAAGAAAGTTGTATGGACTAATGGATCCCAAATGATATTCGTTTTCACTAGATTCAGTGATGTTTGAGTGTTATTAGCTTTAGATTCGAAAATGGTGAAGTAAGTCATTGTTAAAGTAAAGACAACGCAAATATGAAAAGCTTAGAGCACAAGAGTGTAAGTTTATTTTTGGTGTATTACTTAATTAGTATCAAATACCTTTTATAATTGTATTAAAACTATAATTTATAAGTTTCTAAAAGTAATATGTCAACCAATGAAAAAGTTATACTCAAACTCTAAAGTATTATGATCAAGTGATTATTATTCGCGTCAAAATGACATTAGTAGTGCTACCTAATATTATAAGAAAATAACTATATGTCAGGCAAAATGATGTTTATTTCACACCTCACTTTAGTGCTATATAACATATAAGAGCTAAATTTAACACAAAAGATGAGATACAAAGAACAAGCTAGAGTTGAAAATATATTTCTACTTAATGTCAAGCTTATAAAAGAGAATAACATACGTTATAACTCTTTTAGGTCTAGTATTAAAGAAAACAAGTATTGTTGTAAATCCACCTAATCACTATTGAACATATCAGGAGGTAGACGAGTATATTTCAGAAATTTATATATATATATATATATATATATATATATAATAACTTTGTTATGTTTCTAATTATTGACATAACCGATTAACCGAATTGAAAAAATTCAAATCAAATCAAATTTATTTTGGTTCGGATTGGGTTACACTTCTTAAAAACCAAAAACCGAAAAACCCAAATCGAAAAACCGAATGCTCACCCCTAATTTAGACAATCAATAGATAATCTATCTTTTGTGTCTATTTTACCCTTGCTATTAAATATTATTTATCATCGAACACAGTTTTCAAAGCATTCAATTTAATAACGTCAAAGGATAATATAGTAATATTACCCCTATTATTTATTATTTCTTAAGGAGTGTGCCAAGTCAATAGCGGATAACTATTGTTGTTGGACAGAAGGATTTTTTTTTCCAATTTAACATACCCTTTATGTATTAAGATGTGTATTACTAATATCAAGTATTTGTAGGTATTAACAATACAATGATTTAATGCAAAACCCAATTGCCCCTCAATTTTTCCCCCCATTTTTTCCATCATAATAATGGAGGGTATCTTTATAATTTTTTTTTTTTTATGTAATGCATGCTACATAAGTAATGCAAGCATACTTAATTCATTTAATAGATCAAACACTTTGTCCCTTAATTATTTTAGAATGAGTTATCCCATCATGTATATGATAACTTATCGCATGATAAACGGTGTAATAAATAATACTTTATCCGTCCACTTTTAATTGTCATATTGCGTTTTACGAAAGCCAATTTGACTAAAGAGTAAAGGTGTAGCAGAGGTGTGTAATAGGTCATTTATTAGTTTAAGCGTGTAACTGACTTTTCGAAACAAGTTCGGGGGTGAATTTATGCCTTTTCCCTTAAATTAGTTTATATTAATTTGATATTTTAAACAAAAAAATTAGATATTCAAAACTATACGAAAAGTACTTTAAATTGCAATTTTTCGCATATCAATATAATGAATAATTACATCGTAAAATGTTAGTGACAATTAAAAGTGGACGAAGAGAGTACAATGACTACCTAATACCTCTAGCCAAATGTGTAATACAATAATCCTACATTTATCCTAAAATTATTATATCTTATACTTTACACCAAACAACTCGTTGGTTCTATAATTAAGAATGGAAAGTGCTAAATGATCATAATTTTAAAAAAACTATAATTTTTTTTAATTTTTTTTTTTTGATCTTTTTACCATTTTTTAATTAAAAGGTATTAAAGTTAAAAGGGTAAAAATATTTAAAAAGATAAAATAATATAGATAAAATATCATTCTGATTAAGTTCTGACTAAATTTTCTGGTAATTTTTTTTTTTTTCCATTAAGAATTTATAGATAATGCAATATTGTACCTTGTTAGTACATATTATTTACACCACATATTATTGTGTGTTGTTAAAACGTGGTCGGGTACACTTTTCACCCTTTTAAAATAAAAAAACAACAAAGGAAAATGAATGACCTAAAAAGTAAAATACTAAAAAATTCCAAGTTCTCCGCTCTGCTGCGGCGGGTTAAGTCGGCGGGGTAAGCTTTGATTAATCGGGTAAGAAGATAAGAGAGGGAAAAACGGCAAAGGTGTGAATGGAATCGAAAGAAGAAAAGGATAGAGTTTTGTTGATGTATTTAGTGGAAGAATGTAATTGGCCCTATTTTCTGAGGAAGAAGATGATTGGTGGAATCAGGTTTCCTGTTCAGATCAGATCAGATCTCACAAATAGAGAGAGAGAGAGAGAGAAAAAGGAAGCAAATTCCATCTTTTTCTCTCTATTTGATGTTATCCAACACCACTCAGGTCTCTTCTCTTTCTTACCTACCTTTAATTCTACTTTTTTTTTAATATAATTATTGTTGTTGTTTATGTCAATTAAATATATTGCATTTCTTACATATGTGTTTCTAGAATTTTTATTTGTCTCTGCCTGCAACTTACATGACTCTTCTCTCTTTTTGTGATTTTGGGTTAATTTAATTGATTCTTTTGGCATAAGAAGTTCCAATTTTTATTTTTAGTTTTGAATTTTAGTGTTTATAATTTCAAAGTTTGCGTGCACTATCGCCTTCCTGATTAGGGGTGTCAAATAGTGAGTTGGATTGAAAATAGAGATATTAGAATGAGTTGCAATAAAAATTGAGTTAAGTTTTGATCCGTCCAAGTTTACTTTGGACTTAAATGAGCTAAAAATTGGATTGGGTCATCGTTCAATTTGAATCTCTTAATCTCAATAGTTTTAATATATTGTTTTTTTTTTAGACAAGGGTAACTTAGTTTTAATATATTGTTATGTAACTTCTATATCCATAATGTAAATTTCAATTCAACCAATTTGTTTTTAAAAAAGTTACAAATGGATAGATAATATTAAAAGATATAAATATATATTATTTCATACCTTCAATATAGGAACCTACAATACGTCAATGCAAATAAAGAATCTTAAAACGAGTTGAAATTGGAGATTAAATTAGGCTTAATTGAGGATTCTCTTAAAATAAGTTAATGCTTGAATGTGTTGATATTGAACCTAATTCAAATTATATTGAGCCCAACACTTAAAATTCTGGATGAATTAAATCGATTATCTATAATTGGGCTCATTTTTGACACTGCTATTTGTGATATTAAGTTTGTGAAGCATGTAATGAAATTTTAGGAAAAGTGTGATAGCGTATAAATTTAGAGATACTATAAGATTAATTGAAAACTAGTTTGAATATGTTTGGTATATTTTGAAGCTTTATTCTTGCTAAGAAGAAAAATTCATACATAATATTTCATTAATCTTGAGAGGATATATGATAAGCACTAACAATGATTACTACAGGGTCGTCTAGTAGTTATTGAAGTGGTTTAAGAATAGGAGATATTTATATGCCATCGAACTTTCAGAAAAGGCTCATTTATGCCATCTATTAAAAGTTTGACTCATTTATGCCATTACCGTTTAAGAAAAAACTCATTCATGCCATTATTTTTTAACGATGGTTTTGCAAAACCATTATTTACATGTGGCCAATTATAATTCGGCCACGTCATTATTTTTTATAATAAAAAAATAATGACGTGACCGAATTATAATTGGCAACGTGTAAAAAATGGTTTTGCAAAATCACCGTTAAAATTTTAGTTCAGAATTTTGATTTTTTATTATAAAAATAATAATGATGTGGCCGAATTATAATTGGCCACGTGTAAAAAATGGTTTTGCAAAACCACCGTTAAAAAATAATGGCATGAATGAGCCTTTTCTTAAATGGTAATGGCATAGATGAGCTAAACTTTTAACGGATGACATAAATAAGCGTTTTCTGATAGTTCAATGGCATATTTGCGCCTTTTCCCTATTTTAAATTTTGAAGCGGTAATATAAATATTACTATGTGATTTCTTTCATCGGTGAAAAGAATTAGTTGACAGCTGCATTGACCGGAGATAGTAGATACAATATAACATTAAGTGAAAAGGGATAAATATACTCCGAACTATCGTAAATGATATGTAGATACCCTTCGTCATATTTTTGGGACATTAGTGCTCCTGCCGTCCAAAAACTAGAGCATATATGTCATTCATTCTAACGAAAGATTAAATAGGGACACATGGCGCAATCTTATTCGTCGATTCGATATTTAATAAATGTCGGGTCGGTGGATAAGATTATGACACGTGTATGTCCGTTAGTATAAATGATATATATGCTCTAGCTTTTGGACGATAGGGATATCAATGTCCCAAAAGTATGACGAAGAATATTTGCATACCATTTATGATAGTTCGGGATATATTTATCATTTTCCCCTAAAATTAATTGAGATATAATATAAAAGGTTAATATGTTACATATAAAATCAAAATAGAATAGTTGAAACGAGAAAGTGCTAACCAATATTGTTTGGTAGAAGAAGATCTACCAAAGTTGAATACAATTTTTTTATTGGATTGTAAAATGCAATTCATTTTTGAGTATTTAATTTGGTAAGTTTCATCTCCATCACCTACCTTATTCTGGTCGGTGTGGAGTCTATAGTATTAATTTCTAGATATTCATCAGTTTATTTTTTATAAAAAAGATATAAGTTAAAATATTGGGGTAGGGGAGCGGAAATGGGCGGGGATTACAATGTGCGGACTGGGAAATTAATCTCTCACCAATAAAATAAAAATTCATATAACCAACTAATTGAGCTACTAAGATTCCTCTCTAGATATTCTTTTATGTTTTGCATCCTGCTAATTTTTTTCCCTTTCGTAAATTTCTATTCCTTTCAATCACTTTTATTTGTCCACTATTTTAAAAGTTGATTTTCACTTTTTACATATTAAGAAATAAAACATTAATGGCTTATTTCCTAGTAAAATCTAAAACTATAAATTATTTTATAAAAGACGTGCAAAGTTTAAAGTGGACAATATGAAAATATCAATTAGTTCCATCTATTCGGACCACATACAATGTGTAGAAATCTGTGGGTTAAGTATGGGATTCGTGTTTTGAAAATAAATGCACATTCAATTTGCCATCCTAATGTGTTGTAAGGTTTTAATAATTAAGCCTTGAACAACCTCAGACTATGTCTAGAAAATGGAATTGAAATAGTAATACAAGATGCAATTTTTGTTTTTTGGTTGCAAAAGAGTTTAATACTTTAATTGTTCTAATGCCTCCTCAATCCCCATGTATAGTTTGTTTGGTGATGAAATTAAAGATTTAACATATGCTTCAAAATTAATTAACTTTAAAACTTGTTATTACAGCTTGAAGCTAAGAAATGTATGAATATAAGTGAAAGTGAAAAAAGTTTAGCATTATATCACATTGACTTTTTTATCCTAGTTGAGGATCAAAAAAGAAAAGTATTTGACTTTTTCCCTAGTAGAAGTGTGAACATAAACCACCATTTTATATATAAAACTTCAGGTCCCTTTTTGGCACAAAAGAGAACAGAAAGAAGATAGGGAAAACGATTCAAGAGATAAAAAAAAAATACTAGATGATTTTTCATTAAGCTTTGTTCGACAAAATTAGCATCCAATTTATATTGATATTAGATGATTTTTTACTAAATTTTGATCGAATGTAATAGCATTTGATGAAATAGAACATATCTAGTGTCAAAATTTATATATCTTACTAGGTGAAATAGTCAAAACTATTGGCTACATGTCTAATGTCAAAATTATTGTCTCTATGTGTGTCAAAATTGTACACTGCAGATGGCAGTGTATTTACTTTAGGCCAATTTTATTGCACTATCTGGTCCCCTATAAGAAGATAACACTTAATATCTTTTATTTTATTTGAAGATATTTCTTGAGTTTTAAAGTGTTAATGACGTTCATGTTAATCTAGTGAAGATGGAATAAAATACCTAACGTAATGGCTAAAAGTTAGAAAAAGTAGCTCATTAAAGTTGAAGTTTTTTAATTTAAAGAGTTCTGAGTGCTTGAAAATTTCGGAAGTTGTACTAAAGAAATGGAGTGGTGCCAAGCATTTTAAGCTGACAAAAACAATAATAGCATACCTGATTAATTTCACTTAACAAATTATTTCAGTCTCACTTCTTTTATCCTGTCGACATAGAAGTCACTCTTATCTTGGCCCACATAATTTTGTTCTTAATCATATCTCTCCTAGTATGCTGATACACCTATCTGAGGATTCTCATCTCCACTACCTTCATCTATTAAATGTGCGCAATTTTGATTGGTCAATATTCTGCCACATACAATAATGTTGATCTAACCACCACTCATGTTTGATCCAAGATTTGACTCTAGGGTCCATCTCCAAATGTTCATCCTATTGTTAATCCGCCGCACGTCTTGCCAATCAAAATTGTGTTACTATGAATAACATACAACACAACACTTTCCCTTAAAATTGTCATGTCAATTCCTCCATCACTATAGCAAAATCGAATAAATATTTTTAAAGATGCACAATAATATGGCTTTCTCAAAGAAAATTCTTGCATACCAAACATCGTTTGATCATAGATTTTGATTCCAAAACTCAAAATAATATTAGGAGATCATTTCAAATAATTGTTGGTTTATTATTTTCCATATCATTTCAATTTCAAACTTGAAATATAGAATTTGAAGTTTGAAATATAGATTTGGTAAGTTTTTCAAGTTTTTAATGATAAAATTTCAACTTTGTTTTCATATTCAAACACAAATTCAACTTTTAAGTTCTTTTTTTTTTTAAAATTTCAACCAAATCATGTCCAAACGCGTACGATATTTGGGAGAAAACTTAAGGCCTGTTTGGAAAGCCACTCTGGTAATTGGATTTGGTGTAATTGGGTGTAATTATGTTGTCTGTCCTGTTTGGTTGAACATGTAATTACTTGGTCAGCAAGTAATTAGTGTAATTGACGGGGGTAATATCACGACCCAGACCGTCGTGATTGACACCCACACTAACTCTCCAGTGGGAGAACCACTACTACAACCCAACCAAGCAAATAATCTAAAAACTAAGACATTTAAATCAAACACCAAGGAAATAAAAATAAAGTTTCCATAAACTCTAACAAAAATCTCACAATAATAACTAACAATGCAAAAGAATAACCTAGAACCTGAAAGTCAATGTACCAAAACATCTAACAACGATCCAAATCTAAACAAGAAGGGATACAACCCCACACTAATGAACTAACTAAAACAAATGTCTAAGTCCGGAAATGGTGGACATAGACGAAAGAGAACTCATGACAGCCCAGAAGAATTGGCTCACCCTTGAATTCAAACGATCATTGATCTCTTAAGCGAGGTATGTCAATAGC